CTATGTACGATCCAATGGTGGCAAATCTATGCCACACGTATAGCAGCGGGCTATTATCATTGAAAGCTCTAAAAGGTAGCGACATCACTGGAGTCTGTTAGGTAAGGTTCTGTACGAGGGCCCCACTAATGTCTCAAGGGAAACATTACAAGAGTAACATTACAAAAGTAACATTATTAAAATGGAAGGCATCTGAGGTCATTGATTCTATTAACAGAGTATATTAGATTATCACTGTGTAGCAAATTACCACATACTTAACATCCTAAAACAACACATTTATTACTCCACAATTTTTGTGAGTAAAGAGTCAAAGCATTGTTTACATGGACCCTCTGTTTAGTGTCTCCCAGGATGCAATCAAGGTGTGTACCAGGTCACATTCTTACCTGTAGTCTCGACTAGGGAAATCTTCTTTATGAGCTCATTTAGGTTGTTGGCAGGATTCATTTTCTTGTGACTGAGGACCCTGCCATTTTGCCCGCTTGTAGCTGAAGGCTGCCCTGGGCTCTCATGGCTGCCTGCAGTCCCTTGACATACTAGCATTCTCACATTCCTGCATAGGAATAGTCTGCTTCCTTCATCCAGTCAGCAAGGAGAGGCTCTGGAGTTAGACTGTTAGCAACACAGTCTTATATACCAAAACATAATTATGGGAATGATACTCTATTACCTTAGCTATATTATGTAAGTTAGAAGCAAGTCATAAGTCCTTTCCATTCTCAAAGGGAAATGACCATACGGAGGTGTAAACATGAAGAGGTGAGGATCACTGTAGAGCTATCTATAAGTCTGTCCAACATTCAGCAAATCCAGAGTCTACTCCTTTGCATGAATCATTTCAGCTTTTTAAACTAAGCATTTAGGACAATTTGCTTGTGGAAAGTCATGGAAAAAGAAAAGTGACCAGAATGATGCTTAAACAAAAAGTATATCCTTCCCTTTAGTGGCCTTTTCTGTCCATCTGGGATTCTCAACAGATGGCTTGCTAGTACCCAGATGGCTAAATTTCTCCAAAAAGTGATATACTCAAATTGTCTTTCTCAGAAGCTATCTATACAGAAGGCCAGCCTCCCTCCTATTGTCAAAAATTACTCATAACATGTTCCCTTTTCTTGGATCCCTACAACCAGTTGGGAAAGTGATCTTATAAGGCAACACAAACTCAGGATTTCTGGGTTGATTACGACAGCATTTGTTATCCAACACAGATTGCATTTCCATGTGAATAAAGTACAAGATTGTGTAAGGGTTATAAGAAATTCAGAGATTATAGGCACTGAGGCAAATATACTTGGGAAGATGTTTGGGCATATCATACTAAATGCCAGACCTAGAAAATTACTGATTAGGATTGTTTGTGCTGCTGGAACAAGAACACTGGCCAACAAAGGGAGGCTGTCTTCTAGAAATTATCTGAAGCCAGCTGGACTGGTGATTGTTCTTATGCTTTTAACAACTGTGCTGACTGCAGTTGTCTGTGGACTCATATTTTCTCATAGATTTTTGTGCTTATCCTTTGGATTTGGTTTTTCTTGCAAGCTTCACTAGGTATCCGCCTCTGGCCTACCCATAACTCTGGTTTCCCTTGTGGATAAAGCTTTGTCACCCATACTTCTCCTGGCACCTAACCTTAGCCCAATCCCAATTTTGACCCAACTATACCCTCTTGCCACTGGAGGTCATGATATAGCCTCAGTATGTAAACCCATGTAAGAAATATTGGACCATGAGATTAAGGCAAAACTCAAATCTCAGGCACTCAACACAGTTTATTTCCTATTGACACAATAGGTTAGTGTGAGAATCCCTGGTTGTGTAGCTTTACTGTAGCTGCAGGGATACTCAGAATGAGACTCCTTCCTATTGTGGGTCTGTTTTCTTTAACACTTTAACACTGTGTTTATCTGTATCAAGCCATGGAGACAGAAAGATTATGGAAGATTTTTGGGACTGAGCTTGGAGAGATACCCATCACTTCCCACTTTCACTGGCCATACCCAAATTCAAGGGAGTGTGAGAAATTTCATCTATGTGACCAAGAAGAAAGGGAAATGTAACTAGTTTCTGCCATGTGTACTTTTGGCAGCCATGAAATTATACTTGCATACATGCGGCAAACTTAATGGGCAGCACATTTGAGTAAAAGGTCTGTAAGAAATAATGATTTCTTTATTGAACATTTATGTAGAACTTACTATGCTCCAGATACTGGTCTAAATACTTTTAAAATAGTAACTAAGTTAAACCTACACAAACTAATAGAGTAGGTACTGTTAATATCCTCATTTATGGGGAAACTAAGGCAGAAAGTGGTTAAAGAGATTTCAAGAAAATAGCATAGGTGGCAGGTCTGAGAATTTGAACCCTGACTTTAGAGTCAGTTTTTTACTTCCATGCTAAACCAACTGTCCATCTTTGTCAGTACTGTGACTCATCAGAACAAAGTAATTTTATTGGTAATGAAATTAGGCTTCTTCATATAACTCCCCATGGAAAGACACTATCCTTCCCATTTTATAAGTTATCTAGTGCTGTTTACAGAATGTGGCAGACTCCAAATCACAAAACCAGAAGCAGTAAATTACCATATGCCTTTATGAAGAATTCCACTTAGAGTTAAATTTGATGTTCTTCATGCCCACATCTAGTTTTGGTTGATGGAGCCTTGAGTATGTTCCTCTCAGAGATTACTTTTTTGCTACATTTTACCTGAAACAGCCATGTAGTTCATTTGGGTAGTTATAATAAAGTGCCACAGACTTAGTGGTGTATAAAGAGCCAGAAATTTATTTCTCACAGTTCTGGAGGCTGGAAAGTCTAGTATCAACCCATTTCTCTGGTGAATGTTCACTCCGTAAATAGTTGTTTTCTTACTGTGTCCTTGGGTGCTGGAAGAGATGAAAGTTCTCTGAGGTCTCTTAACAGAACACTAATCCCATTTATGATGGCTCCACTTTCTAATCTTGTCCCAAAGGCCCCATTTCCTAATATCATAATTTTGGTAGTTAGGATTTTAACATATAAATCTTGTGGGAATACAAACAAACAGACCCCAGCAACTTACTTAATTCAAGAAGGGGAAGGCAGAACTATGGATGAGTTTCAGGTGTTGTAACCACATACCTCAAGCTGTCATGGGGTTTTAAGCATTATCTGAACTGGCAGCACAACCAGAAAGAATGTTTCTGTGTTATGTGATGTCATCAACCACAGGTATTAAGAAATACAGCAAGCTTTGGAAAATCCTTCATATGATTCAAGTTTACTTGTTGTTGAAAAATAATACAGAGCTATTGATGTAACCTTCATACTTTTTTATGAGTTAAGATTACAAAGAATATTGAAGAACATTTCACAGCCAGTGATCTGACCTTAATACTTCATGTATCAGTCTATGGAAAATACTTAAAGATCCATCTTTTAAACTTTTACCTTGAATTTTCTGCTTTTAGAAGATTTATTATGACACTTATGATTTTAAAAGTATAAAATTGAAACACTATCTCTGCTTTAGCACTTTACTTACATCTATCAAGTAATTCTATATCTTCAGCTGCTCTTTATTTTTTACTTATTGACCTTATTTGAGTTCAGAATCACATGCTTGATTTCTTTGGATTAAGTCATGAGTTTATTATTGCCTATTTTATGAATGACATGATTCTTACATCAGCAACAAATGACTCTGCTTTCAGAAATCTATTTTTCATCTCTAAAACTCTCAATAAAAAGTATAATAAATCTCTAAACCAAAAAAATAAGGTTTTTGTTAAACTTACAAGAAAACTTTAAAACAAACAGGCATAGGGTTTTTATCATCCAGCATAACCATTTATATCTGCCTTTTGGTCTTTATATATTATAAAACTCACCTTTTTAAGAGAACTTTGGGATTTAGACATCAATTTTATAGACATCTTCTCAGTTAATATATTTACCACAGTTCAGGGAAGTAAATGCGACTGTTATCTTCAGTTTGCTTCTATGTGAGATGCTCCATGACTTGTTTGTATTCCATAGGCCACACAGGGCACTTTGAGGCCCAGTCCTTTTCACAGGAACTGGAGGTCTCAGCATGCCTTCCCAATGACCAAAGGTTAGTGTGAATATTTCCACTGGATACTTGTAGTCAGAGTCAAAGAATGCAAAGGGAGCTTTCTACCTGTTCTCAGAAATCTGCTGGGCACTTGGTCCTTTCCACAAGACTTTATCCTTATAACAATTCTTTGGAGTCATGTTATTATCCTTTTCTTATGTGAAAAAATGATGAAATTTAGAAAGATTATGACTTATCCAAGGTGTTATGTATATTATCAGTTCAATCAGAGTTTAAGCCTGTTCTCTTCTAGATTACAATTCTGTGCTTTTCCTATATTTCTTCCAAAATAAAACTTTTGTTCTAAATATTCTCTGCACATGAACCTGTATTAAATTAAAGAGTGAATCTTGGGTAAGCAGGATCTTAGGTAAGTTTGGTTCATACTAAAGTGAGGAGCAATTGGTCATCACAGGTTCTCGTGTTGTGGTTGTGTGTGTATTGGTTTGTGTGTCCTTTGATTGAGTGGATGTGCTTGCATTGCTGTGTTACTCTGGGCATTGGACCTTACCTGATAGGTATATTCTGGGGCTTTCAGACCAGACTCTTCCTTTTGCATGTGAGATTGATATTCAACCTGACATTTCAGGTCTAATTTTGTATGTACATTTGGTGAGAAGCAATTTGAAGGTTTTGTCAAAAATTGATTATTATTTGCAAAGCAATTATTTTCCACCAACATTGAGACCAAGAAGACAACCAAGAACTACAATCTGTTTGTCATTTGGCCCAGAATTGGACAAATAACTTTTTTCTGATGCTTTGAAACAGACACCTTTATTCTCTTAAGCCAAACTAGCATTTAAATAAATGTATGCATCCATATCTTTATAAAGTGGATTTTACTGAGTGAGGAAAGGATATGAAATAAAAAAATATTTCTTCTTTCTTGAGTTCTTCATAGAAAAGATGTTAGATTTCTGTTCATCTCTGTGTGCTGATATATTGTTGAAAAGTGAATCCTAAGTTAATTCTGTCAACACATTGGTCCTGAAAGAACAAAATTTAAACAGAAATGAATTAAATTATTTTTATGTTTATTTCCTTTTTAAAAGGACTATATTAAAAAACAAATTTACTTGGAAAAATACATTTTGTTTGATAGCATATTGTAAGTCTTTTTACTATGAGACTGAAAGAGTTGGATGTATCCCAACTTCTTAACCATGTGTCATGGACAGTTTCTTTTTCTCTCATTATTTACACATATCTTCACTATCAAGTAGCCAAATGGTTCCCTTTCATGAGATCTAGCTCACTGCCCTTTCCCTCAGGCTGAAGTCTGTTTGCCAAAGTCCTGTCTTGATGGACTGCCCCTGCTCAGCAGCACATTACCAACTATTGGGGTGATTGCTGTGACTACCATAGGAAAAATGCCCTATGGGTTTGCTAAGACACTCAAAAAGCCAGCAGTAATGTAGTGAGATGCCTGTGGGCCATGCTGCTCAATGGAAAGATCTTTCTCACCCACTTGTCGCTATTTGAATCACTTGGCAATAAGGTGGGCTTTGAATACATATTTACTGAGACCTTATGGTCTCTCTGAGGCCCTGTGCTCAGTATTTTCCTACAGATACCTCATAGATTGACTGAGGATTAGATATAGGATTCATTTTGGGGCCCATTTCACTAATGAAAATTACTATAGCAAAGGTGCATCTGAAGTCCCATACTCAGTGATGAACAGGACCAGAAGCCAAACCCGAGTCTTCTGCCTGAGCACAAAAGTCACTGAAAATCATAGAATATAAACTTAAATTTAACAGATTACTCTTTAGAGATGCTTTAGGGACATAGACATTTTAGCAGAGAGTACAATCTTTTCACATTCCTCTGTTGGCCCCTATACATAGGCTTTCCCTCTATCAACATCCTGCACTGCAGTGGGACATTTGTTACAGTTGATAAACTACACTAACACCTCTCCTTAACACCCAAAGTCCATGATTTAACTAAGGTTCATGGTCAGTACTGTACAGTCTATGCATTTGAACAAATATATAATGACATTATTTTTAAGATTACAGTGAAAAAATCCTTCTGACTCCAAACCTAGTGACCCTTCCATGTGCTTTTAGCAGCCCCAGGAATCCCACTAATAGGAAAGAAAAGACCAAAGAAGAGCAATGTAGATGGAGAACAAAAGAGAGGCAGTATGTACTTGTCAGTAGGTCACACTGGGTTTGTTATAAGCCTCTAGTATCATCTAGATTTTGAATGATGCCAAATATAAGATGTCACACTTTGTAGATTTTGGGCTAGAACATGGTGCTAAATCATTTAGGTTGCTTCTAATGAGACACCTAATAACAAACACAGAATGTGAAAGAGTTTGGCACAAGAGCAGGATGCTATAGGGGTGCTGAGCACGATCTTGGAATGACAGTGCTAACTAAAGCCACCTATGGCTATACCACCCTGAACGTGCCTGATCTCATCTGAAGCCACATTTTTCTTCCAAATCACCTGAGCACTCACTGCTGAGGCATTCTGTTAGGTCTTGCTAAAATCACTTCAAGACGTGTCATATATTTGGTCTTTAATTTTATTAAGTCATGAATTTATCTACTTTTAGGGAACACATTTATGCTAACATATTAGGATGTTTCTTCCCCTGTCATTATTGTACACACAATTTAATCAGCTTGAGTTGTACCAAGAAACTTGTCTCCTAAGGATAAATAAAGGATTGGTATTCTCCTATGGTCTGTTAAATATTCCATTGGTTTGAATAACTTGAGGCACAGAGTAATCACTTACCTTTAATTTTGCAGAGTCCTCACCTGCAGTGCCTCTGTAGATTAATTACATTGTTGTTCTGTTTCTTCCATTGGAACAATGGATGGTCCCAATTCCTTGAAATGGAGGATAAATATCTAATTCCATTTTGTTTTTCAGTTTGTAGCCACCATTAAAAACCTATGACTTTGTAGGGAACTGGTCATGGTTCAGCCTATTACCTACAGGCTCTCATGTACTATTAAGAAGTGAAATCTCCTTGTTGGTTGTATCTCTTGAGAATGCGGGATCTTGCATTTTTCACAGCAGGCATTCATGGCCACAGGACTGTCAGGGAGAAAGCTGTACTGTTTAGATATTGATGATAGTAAGTGCGTAAGCAGAGAGGAGTTGTCACTTAGAGGCTATGTACTGAGAAAGGCAGGTATTTTATTTTATTTTATTTTATTTTATTTTTGGAGTGTGTTGCCAAATAATAGCCAAAAATCTGTAAGTTTTGCTTTCTCACATTTCACTGTCTTTTTATAGTCTTAAGGATTTAATCATTACATTTGTCTTTTTATGTTACATAGACGCAGGCTGAGAGAGTCTGACAATTGGTGTGTAGAAGTCTTTGATATATATTTGCATAATTACCATGTAGTAGGCCTTGGTCATTAAGTGGACATTTGTTTGTCATCACGCTCAAAATGACTGTGGTGAAAATACCAGATTTAATCCCATTGAGACAAACTGTTTTAGCTATATTGTTGCATTTGTTAATAAACTACCTTATCCCCACACATCACCTCTGGAAAAAGAAATTTATCTTTGGAAAAAAATACTGATCACCATTTCAGTGTCACATAGTCAATGGTGGGATATGAGAGAGATATTTACAGCACCTTCACAGCTTGTATGGTCCAGAGCAGGGTCACATTTTAAAACTCAGAGCTCAAATAAAATCTTTATTAGTATTTCTTCCACTTAAGTAGCTCTGCTGAGCCCCACAAAATCTTAGATTTCTTTCTGTTCTTTTTTTTTTTTTTTTGGATTTCTTTCTGTTCTTGAGACAGCTGAACCTCTTCATAGCTTATCTTGCATTCCTAGAAGAATTTCTTCTTCCATGCTGACTTTGCCCTTATCACTCAGTTCCTGTTTATCTCATTGCTCTTTCCTATGTGCTACATCATGTCACATGATATTCCCTCCTCACCACACCACAAGGATGCATGGACACTGTACTTTTTATCTGGCTGCTAAATTCAGAACATTAGTCATTATTCTCAGGGAAGCAGGCCATATATAGGGAAGGAAAGCTGAACAGTAGTCGCCTGTGTGATCTTCATAGATTGGGGGAATGCAGAGAGTTGTGAATTGCCACATGTAAATGATCATCTCCAAAATAAATAGGAAAAGGTGTTTACTTTAAAACTCTAGCTAGTCAATTTTTACTGGGATTTTTAGGAATATTGGAACCAGGAGGTATATTTTAATCCATCTGTACTACTATAACAAAATGATAGAGAGTAGGTAATTCATAAAGAAAAGGTACAGTTGTTTGTCACAGTTGTGGAGCACTGGCAGGTTTGGTGTCTGATCAGGGTTCCTCTCTGCTTCTAAGATGGCAACTTGAATACTGAAACCTCTAGAGTGGATGAATACCATGTAATCACATGGTAAGAGATACTAAAAGGCCAAAGGATTGATGCTGTATTCTGGGGTCCTTTTATATGAGCACTAATTCATTCATGAGGGCAGAGCCCTCATGACTCAATCATTTGCTAAAGTCCTCATCTGTTAATGCTAATCCATTGAGGCTTAGCTTTCAGTATGAATTTGGTAGGAATGCAAACACTCAAACCCAGCCAGGCACAGAAGAAATGAGGGTGGAAATCAATGCTCTTATAGGTGAGATGACCCACACATGCATGCACATTTATTCACATATATTATTATTATTATTATTATTATTTTGGTACTGGGGATTGAACTCGGGACCTTGCACTTGCAAGAGAGGTGGCAGAACCACTGAACTGAATGCTCGGCCCCATTTATTCACTTATAGATCTAGAACTGAACCCAAGTTTCTGATCCTTCATTCTTACAATCCTTATGTATTATAACTATCTAAAGAGTCTTCAATTATGGGAAATCATACTAGACTTGGTTTTGTTTGTACAAGCACAGAATAGCTGGCAAAACTTTGGCATGATTTACGAATTATAAAGACTTCTGGTAGTGAACACAGGTAGAATGGTTATAGTTGACGTTTTTTTCCCCCTAATGGTCTTCACACAAAACCCAACAAGGTAAATGGACAGATATTATTAGCCTATTTCACTGGTTAAAAAAATTGAGGATCAGAGACATAAAGTGACTATTTCTGGTCACATTGCAGAATGATTGAACTACAACCTGACCTCTTGACTTCTAATCTGTGTTTTAACCTCACTGGTATATTCTGCACACAAAGACAGACAGACAGACAGACAGACACACACACACACATTTCCTGTTGCATTTAAAATCATAGTGTAATACAGGTAAGATGTTGCAAGATCTTGCTGGCTTTTTTGAGTAGAAAAGACAACTTCACTATTATAGGAGAAAATAGATAAATGGCTTTTATCATTAAAGGGAATTTATTTATCCTTAAAAAGAATCAGCTATGAAGAAATGGCCTTATTTCAAATAAAGAAAATGTTTGTCCCCTTTTAATTTACTTAAATAGTTTCTACTGTTTCTTCTGGTACTGTTAACAGATGATTAAAAGTCTCCTCAGAAGGAGAGTGCATCTGAGTGATCATATTCTTTTCTTTAGTTTTTGTCACTGTCTCACCTGAGATTGAAGCGATGAGATCACCTTCTGATTCCTTTCATTGGTGTTATCCAGGTTAGCAGGAAATTCTGCCTCCTTCATCTCTCAGGATCTCAGTCTTTTGCTTCCTTTGAAATCTGACCTCTGAACAAAGCTGTAACATCTAGAAAATAGTAACTGAATTGATTTATTTCAGATTGTTGCTATAGTGATTCCCTACCAATACAGACAGGAAATGAAGAGAAAAGGGTGTGTTGAAGAGAAGGGGTTCAAACCAAGCAAAAAGAATGACAGGCTGTGGAAGAAGGCATTAATGGCCTATCTGCCCATGGACAGAGTCAAATATCTTCTTCACAGCTTACTATTAATTTATCAATAGTGCTCACAATCACTTATATTTAAGAAATAGTGAAGTGTTTTTATCACATCAGTAACAAAATGTATCATAAGTAGTCTTAAATATTTCTGAAGATTTTTTTACAGGAAAAATGATTACGAATTTTTAAAAATTTTCATGACCAGAAACGTTTTGATTCTTAAAATAGTTCCTTTGATTATGCTTTATTAAATGTGTTTTCTGGAAGGCTAGTATAAAATCTTATCTGTAGAAAAAGTGGATGAATCAATGCATTTTTGTTTATTCAACCATTTGCTTTTGTGTATTTGATCGTTTATTCATTTGCTGGTAAAGCTTTCCATCTATCTTTTCATTCAACAAAGTTTGCTGATCCTTTATACCAGGCTGTAGATATACAATAATAAATTCAATAAATATTAATAAATTTAACAAGTGTTTATTAGGCATCAACTACATGCATGGCAACATCTCGGTCAGTTAGGGATGCAGAGCTGAGTAGTCTCTGTCCTCAAAGTGATTATAACCTGGAATAGGATAGAGTTTAAACCCACAATCACTCTAGTGCAGATACTTTATCATCCTACCATAGTCATCAGAACCACTGAGTGCCATTTTGTGTGAAGGAAAGCTGCATGAAGGAGATTTGGGAGACAAAATATGGGTAAATGTCTCTTTCCAAGTAGATTGAGGTAGAAAGGAGGAGAAAAGAATTGTGGAAAATATGACAACTGTGATTAAAAAGGGACCATGATGTGGACCTCCTTTACACCCTGGAGACTGATTTCATTTGCAGAAACACTCTCTCCTCTTCTATCACATCACCAGCCCTTGGAAGGTTGTGGTTCAATTTGCCATGATAGTAGCCCAAGCTTCAGTGTAAGGCAAATTGATGGATTAATTTAGGTGGAGGCAAGGTTGGAAGGAGGAAGGTTTTGGAAATAAGCATTTGGTGCTGCTCTAAATCAAAGTGTAAAAAAAAGAAGAGACATTGAAAATGCAATAGAATAGAAAGCTAAGCAAGGAACAGTCACAGACACTATTTTTAAGGTCTTCTTCCTTGCCTATGGCCTTTGAAGCTTTCATTTAGATTTCAACCACATAAAAGAATTAGGAGAAGGGTTGTAAACTCATTCTCATCAGAGTACAGCTGTCCCTTAACCATGCCCTCAAACAAGATTAGCATCACTGATGGTAAGGCGTAAAAATCAAGGGTCCACTCTTTTCTCAAGCCTGGCCTTGGCATTGCTCTATGTTTAACCTTAGACAAGTCATTTAACTTCCAGGGACCTGAGATTTCTCATCTGTCAGGACAAAACCTCTAAGCCAAAATATTCAATAGAAGCAGATATTAGAATTGAAAAAGACTATAGTGGCTCAAAATATATTTTGAAATTGTGTAAAAAACCAGCCTCAGACAAAAGGAAAATATGCTAATTCTTATTTCATTAATTCATAAACTATATAATTCTTACAGAGAACTCTGTGATTCATCACATTTTTTAACCAAGATTAAATAGTCAAGATCTGTCAGTTGGGCTCAGCTTTGTCAAGACTTCACTACAATTAAAAGTACACTTGGAAGGATTATCATAAATAATTAAAATTAATGTAATTTATTAAAATAAATGAACAAAGGCTATATCTCAGAGTTTTCCACCATCTATGAATTAAGTCACATTTTGCATTCAATGTCAGGATTTAGCCTTGAGAATGTTACATTCACTTTTCACAATGGGTACTTTCCCTTTAATACATCAATGTGGAATTTATGCTAATTTTTACTAGAGTCAAGCATTCATATAAAAACAAAGTTCTATTTGAATTCCTTTAATTTAAGGGTGGTAAGATAGAAACACTTATTCAATGCAAAAGGAAATGATTTTATTTGCTTCTGGAATTTGCACTTGCTTAAAATATCCATTCAGGTATAAAGACTGTCACTTTCAGGAGATTGTAAGGACTTGATTAGCTGACTCTGAGTCTTATGCTTTTCAGTCATGGTCTTTGCTCCTCATCTTCTCCTGGTATCTATCTTGAGATGGAATAAAAGTTATGTTCTCAAATTAAGGTAGAAAATTCAAGACCTCCAGAGAACAAATTTCAATTTCTTTGAGGTACTTGTCCTCTTTTTCAGAATTTTATATTCTTAATAGGATATTGAGATTGACCTAGACCTTGGAACATTCTCCTGCAAAATGACTATGACCTTAGACAAATCTCAGTGAAGCTTGCCATTTTTCTTTATTTTTGTGAAGGTTAGGTTAGGGGAGGGCACCTTAAGGAGAAGGAAATCCCATAATAATTATTATTGCAAAATAATTACTATTATTCAATTTGTCAATTATCTCAGTTTATTTTGAGCCAACTAGTATATGAATTCTTCATGGTTGTCTTGCCTACACAATTTTTACATCTGAATCTCTCTCTGAAATTTTTTATAAATTGTTTGGCATGGTCTCCAAGTATGCTTACTCTAATGGTTAGGGTCCTCTAGGGGAACAAAATTGATAGAAATATATGTATAATTATGCAAGAGGATTTATTAGGTAGGCTTACAAGATCAGAGATGGGAGAATCCACAATGGTCACATCTGCATCCTGGAGATCTGGAGAATCCAGTAGCTGCTCAGCCCAAGAAGATGGAAACTGAAGAATAAGATGGATCAAGGATGTAGCACCAGTCTAAGGTTGAAGGCCCGGAAGGTCACTGGTGAGTCACTAGTGTGAGTCTGAGTTGGAAATCTGAAGACCCTAGAGACCAATGACCAAAGGTGATAGCATCAAAGACCAAAGCAAAAGAAGCCCAAGCAGACTGAAGCTCCTAAAATATGAAGATACCTCTTTTATTTCCTTTTTTTATTCCTTCAGACCTCAAACCTATTGGTTTGTGCCACCCACAACCAGGGTGGGTTTTCCCTCCTCAGTTTGTTGGCCTACATATCATCTGTGGAAACAACCTAGAGACACAGCCAGTACTGTGAGTTACTAATCTGCTAGGCATTTCTGTTTCCAGTAAAGTTGACATATCACAATAAACAGTTACACTTACTATAGTGAAAGAACTGTAGCATTGTGAACCTTTTTATTAGTCTTTCTGCTAAGAAATCCATTTATACAAGTGATTCTCAAAGTACAATCTTTGAACTAGGAGCATCATAGATGCTTGGGAATTTGTTTAAAATATAAATTATTGGGCTCCATCCTAAACCTATTGAATGAGAACTTCTGATGATAAGATCCAACAAACTGTTTTTCCAAGTACTCCAGTTAATTCAGATAAATGCAAGCTACATCTTGAGAGCACTAACTTATAGCAGTTATATAAAATCTGGTATCTTCATTTGTTTAAATAAATTAGCACCTAACTTTAGAAAGGAGTTTACTTGGCTATATTTACTATTTTTATTTCCCATGGATTCATGAATCTTTTAATTAATCATGTTTTCTCTTTATTTTTGGCTGCTACAATTCTCACAGCCAAACTTGAAATCTTGTATAAAAATGTATGGCCCTCCTTTCTGGGTCATTACTTCTTTCTTACCCTTTTTTTCACTTTGCCCTAATTTGTCCCACATAATTGTTGTAATATGAGTATTTTGAAAGATGATGTGTGAAGTAAATAAATGTGCTCATTGGCATGAGTAATAAATGGACATCCCTGATACTATTTCCTGACATCTGTTCTTAATTTGTTTATTTTATGTACAAAGTGAAAATTCCATTTAAGACATTTTTGAGAGACTCTACAAGACATGTGCTTAAATATCTGAGCTCATTTTACCTGATAGCTCTCATATACTGACATCTTTTTAGTATAAACTGATCCATTAACTTAAATTCATTGAAACTGAAAGTCCTTTTTACCTCTTACAGGTAGCATCTTTTCCTAATGGCAGTGAAATTTCTTATCAAGGATTCCTTTACCATCAAAGTCATTCCTTTTGACATTGTAAAATCACCCCTACCTAATGGCTTTACATATTGAGAGCAAAACGTGATTGTAAGAGATGGATTTTTCTTACAAGTGCTTCCATTTAAGATAATGTTAAAAGTTGTGTACAGTTTCAGATTTCAGGGAAATTCTAATACCTACTGTATCTCCTTCAGGTGGCTCTGATTTAGTCTGACAGCAATGCCATAATTAACAAAGTGAGGATGGAGCATTATGCCAGTCATGTCATTGGGGTAACTGAAGAAGCTGATTTATTTAACTTTTGTATGGCACCTTTGGCAGTTCTTAATTGTGTCATATTTGTGTGGCAAGCAGATATTTAAAGTTTCACCCTCCTGTATGTATTGTAATGAAGCCCACTAAATAATTAAAATAAACAAATGAAGACTAATTTGCTTACTTTTAATTTTTACCCAATCCACATTAGTTAATAATTTACAAGGTAAAAATGGATAGAGGACTAAAATGACTTCTCTTCCAGCACTCACATGTGCACCATTGTGGGTAGATTTTGCCCTATTGACTGCTCATTTGTACAAGAAATAACCCCAGAGAAAACAGTGTTCAATGCGAACCAGGCTTTAATAAAAGGAGCAGCAGACTCTGGTGTTTTTTTCTATTTCCATATAATCCCAGGATCATTTGTCTGGAGCTGTTTCTGAATTATTCATACCAACGGTAGCTCTTTCAGATATTGGATGTGCACAGCTTCTATCGTACAGTTTCACAGGTAGAATCTTTTTTGCTGGCAGTTTAAAAATAGAATTTTTTCTTTCTGTTCCAGATTGCTCTTGGGTAGTTCCGGGTGGGTTGTATTAGCAAATCATTAAACATTAACAGGCTGTTTGGGGGCCAATGCTAAGATTTCTCCAGGCAAAAGGGAAGAGAATGGAGAATTATAATGGGAATATGATATTCTTGGGAAAGTGTTCATTTGACTTAGCTTTTGAAAATCTCAGTAGTCTTATGGTGTAAGCATTATTTAGGAGACACGAGTTAACATTTATTTTCATTCATTGCAATCTTAACACAAGTAAATTGGATTTGAGGGATTTATACTGCTGATCCTAATGTTCCTATGCCCCATTTGACACTAAACATTGAATCTGTGTTTTCAGCTTGCAGGAGAAAAACAAAACTCTAGTAAAGGCCGGGAAAAGTGGCCTCTCTATGCTTCTACTGATTCCTCTCTCCCTACCTGCCTGATCCACTCAACTTACACCCTAGCACTGCAGTGTTCCTTAAGTTCTTCTATCCAGACAGATCTCATATTTCCTTCCCTCCCTCCTTCCCTCTCTCCTTTCCTCCCTCCAGACTCATCTGCCTAAAATGGCCAACATTTCTTATCCAGCAACACCCCATTTTCCCTGATTTTCATACATCTTTATCCTTTACCTTAACATTAGTGTTCATCTCCCTCTCCTGCAAGAGTTTGGTGGTTGGATTGGAAAGTTTCTCCAGAAACCAACCCAGAGCCAGGGATTTGAATGCAAGTAGTTTCTTGGAAGGGAAAGAAAGAACTGGTAGGGAAATGGTTAAATGAATGCTGTCCATCAGCTTAGGGTTCTTTTGCTTTAGTCAGGTGGAAATCATGAACTGGCAAAGCATAGCCCTGCTAGCAGTCCTGATGTCACTGGATAATGCTGGATGCCAACAGTTGACATAGCACACTGCTGATTACTGTTTCTGCCATCTAGTGCCAGATTGTGCCAAAGGCTGTAGGTCAAATCTACACGAGGGTTGGTCTCTGCTACTGATCTTTGTTGGCTCCCCGTCTCTGGAGCTCTTCAGTTCGAATACCAGCTAGTGTTGTTCTTCCTTTTGAACCTACCACTCTGTCCTCATTACTCAGGATAAGAATCCCAAGTAGATTTACGGGACTCTTGATGCACACCCCAACTACAAAATAAATCAAGAGCAGGTTTACGGGACTACCAAAATGAGTATTTTAACAAGGCTTGTGCTGCAGCACAGGACAAGTCAGTACACTGGAGGGAGCCCTCCTAGACTAACCAGAGAACTGTGTAGGGAGCTACTTATATAGTGGCTGAAGGCCTGTGATTGGTGCAAGTACAGGCCTATGATTGGTGCAGGGCTCCAGGACAGTCTCAGCCGTCATAGCAGCCAACCAGTGAAGGGGCAGGGTTGAAACCAAAGACTCTTCTGGAAGGCTAGTTGTGGAGGTTGGGTTTAGATCCTCCCTCTCTCTCTCTCTCTCTCTCTCTCTCTCTCTCTCTCTCTCTCTCTCTCTCTCTCTCTCTCTCTCTCTGGGGGGGTACCGGGGATCGAACTTGGGTCTTTGAGTTTGCGAGGCAGGCGGCGGAACCACTGAGCTAAATCCCCGGCCCCATAGATCCCTCCCTTTCTGATCTTAGCCAGGCCAGGGTGCCCTCTCTCCCTTCTTCAAAAACGCCGGTTCAAAATGGCGGGCGTGGGGGAGGGGCAATACAGTGACAAGCTGCACTCCTGTTGGAACTGACTGGAGAGAGGGGCCGCTAGATATCGAGGGAAGACACGCAAGCCAGTTGTCCCACTTGGCAGTGGGAGAGGGTGGAGAGATGGAGCAAAGTGAAGCGAGGAGGAGGAGGTGGGCAACAGTCACTGGGCAAGTCACCTCGCCCACTTCAACCAGCAAAAGAAAAACGGGAGTTAGGCGCTTCTCTTCTGTCTCAGGAAGAAGGTGAAGGAAACCAATACAAGGTATGTACTGTACTGTGCTGTACTATACTATATGTCATTTGGACAACTAAGGCTTGACCTGTTTGGAAACTCTGGGGACTACTGTAGAGTTAGGCTGTTTTGGGAGAAGCAAGCTGAAATGCCGGCTGCAGTTCCTATCTATGGCTGCTGAGGACTGAGGGCTGCTCCTGTGGGAAGTGAGTAATCCTGGGTCCCTGAGCTGGGCTGCTGGGAAGAGATGACTGGAGATTTGCAGATGGGCTCAGCAGGACACATAGATATGTTTTGGAACAGTGAGAGCCAAGGAGACCCGTATGGTGCATTAACAGCCAAGCATGTGTTGAACCTCCCTGTCATGCATATGCGCATACACACAAACACTGGATACTGTATGGTGAGGTAAGAAATTGCTTCCAGCCCATCTCCATAACCTCTGTGTCCTACTGTTGCACCAATACATGGGAACTTGCTAGCCAACATCTGCTGGAGTGCTGAGTATTGAATGATTGAGTAACTATGGGGTAGACTCACCCTAAGTTTTAATTTCTGATACCTCCTTCTAAGGACCTCCTTAATTCCTACTCACCTTTTATGGTTCAAAGTGACATTCATATTTCTGCATGATCACCCTGGGATTTTTGTATCCCTCACTCTTCAAATGCCCACTCTGTCAAGCCTTTTCAAATGCAGAATCCAATGGCTAGGCTGCTGTTTGGGATATGCAGGTGGGAAAGTGGCGGGGGCAGATTCCATGTCATCTTCCATGGTGCTTGAATGCACTGGGATTGGATAGCAAAAGCCTCCAAGTTTTGCTCTCAGGAAGGAGCAAAACATGTTTTCCATCTGGAAGAGATAACCCTAGCCTAATGGTGTGGGAATCCGCTATGCTGTTCAACCATACCACACTTCTTCATGTGTCCTGCCTGAATGCTACCCAACCTGCTCTTTGGGGAACAGCTTCTCCCAGGGCTATTTGGATCCAATTAACTTGGCCCATGTCTTCTAGTTTGCTCAGACTGGCTGAGTTCTGTTCTCATGACTGCTGTAGGCACCCACTCATATTCTCTTTGACCACAAGCTCCTGCCATGATGTTCAGCCTGTCTTTGTCTCTAGACCTTCCACCTGCAACTCTGGTTTAGTCTCTTATCTAACTCCTCTCTCTTTTTGTCTTCTGTGGAGCTGCTTTTCCTGGGGTCAGGCCCTGGGAGAGCTCAGTCAAGTTACCTTCTCTGGTCTCAGTTTCTTTATAAAAACAAAATGAGGGGCCGGGGATTTAGCTCAGTGGTTTCACTGTCTGCTGCACAAGCGCAAGGACCCAAGTTTGATCCCTGGTACCAAAAAGAAAAAAAAAAAGAAACAAAAGCAGAGAGACCATGGTTTCTAAGATCCTTCCCAAGACTCAGGTTCAAATTCTGTGACTGAAGATTGTTTCTAGTGTCCCTTCCAGCCACAACCAACTAATTTCTAGTTTTGCGATCCATCTTTAGTTTGGGTAACTCCAAATAGCACACCCCTCCCCCCCATAAAAAGGTGCATAAAATGGACACAGCACTGACTCCTGCCCTGAGGACTCATCATCTGATCTGGGAAATAGTCACTGAACAGGTCCTAGTGCTAGAAGTAAGTAAAGAACTATTCCCAGAGGATATTTTGCAATATATCTGTGAAATCAGGCCATTTGTGGAGTTTCTCTGGTACTCTGAAGTAAATACTAAAATGAAAAAGGTTGTAATTCTGGCTACTTGAAGTCATTGTCTCTTTTCTTCAAAAGTCCAGCCTTTGCCATCACATTCTCTGAGGGCCATGGCATAGGGGTGTTGCACATGGTCCTTCAGGACCATCTAATATAGGTTATTATATCCCTACTAGGAGAAGCCAGAAATCATTAAAGGCAGACCTGGTGTAAAATACAACTTCAGCCATTTACTAACTGTGATTTTTTACCTCTGTGAACCTTACTTTCCTTACTTGGAACAAGGGGGTAATACTGCTTTTTAGTATCCCATGAGAATTAATAACATAAACAATTACTGAGTACTGACTTTGGTTCAGGAAATTGTGTTCAGTTTGTGGAGAAAGGACACATAAGAAAATTAGACCTTATCTTTGCCTCATTCTCAGTTCACATTTTAGTAAGGGAGGTAGAAACAAATAAATATAACACAGTCTCATAAATATAACAATAAATTAAGCAAATTGATACTTTTCATGCAAACAGCATAGGCAAGTTTCAACAAAATTTATTTTCCTTCTTCTAAGTATGAAAGAATGTACTGTAAAAAAGACGAGATAAAGCAGTACATCACAGGTTACCCACCTCGGGAGAGCCATCGGAGCCCCTTTGCACAAAGGCCAGTGGCACTCATACTTCATATCTAAAGGAATTATTTTGAGTCCCATAGTAGTAAATTATATTAATAACTTCAAGTCACTAAGGAACAGTTAAATGATGTTTGAGAGTCATGGAATTAAAGATTACATTCTAGAGAGGTTTACTTTTCAAAAGATCAAAAAGATTTTAATTTTTTAATTTTTAAGATAATGTTTGGTATATCTAATAGAGATATGAAAATTATATAGAATTAGATAAAACCTTTTTTCCCTTAAATTCTTTTATTGGTACATTTTAGGTAAACAATACATTTACATTTATCATTGGGTGTTTGTACCTGTACATGATGTATCTTGGTTCTTATTTTTT